AAACCCTAAACCCCCAAAGCCCCCAATTTTTGAGGGACCTGAATGGTTAGTGAGTGCTGTTGGCATAGGATGAGAGGGGTGGAAATCTTAAGAAGGAGCCCCTAAGGAACCATAGTAAATAGTAATAAGTAGCCCTACCCCCCCCCCCCCCCCCCCNNCCCCCCCGGTACCTACTACATAGGGTACTAGAGCCCCTAGCCCCATCATAGTAGGTACCTGGGGGGTTAGGGTAGTACAGGTAAATAATCAGGCTTCTAAGTTCCACACCTCTCCAGGAAGTCGCGTCGACTTTGATTGCCGGGGTTAGGGTCTAGGGTGAACGGTTTAGTGCCTGGGGTTGCCGGAGGGTCCCTAAAACCCAAAAATCCTAACACCCGAAGCCCTGACTCCATCCCCAGCCAAGACACAGGTCCGAGTCTACCTCCACGACAGTGTCGCAAAGGGATCGGAGCCTTGGGATGCTGGTGTTCGAAGGCTTAGGGTTTAGGGTTCCTGTCTGCAAAGCATCCTTTGTATGGATCTGGATCCCAATACTTTTAGGGTTTCTTAATCAGGTTCCTATACTAGGGTTCAGGGCTTTAGAGCTTTGGGGTTTGTGGCTTGCGGGGCTGAGGGTTTAGGGCCTTTGGGTTTAGGTATGTGGCTTAGACTTAGAGGCTTAGGGGTTTAGCGGGTTTAGCACTCACTCTCCGAAGGTTTAGGGTTTTTTAGGGTTTAGGGGTTTAGGGCTTAGGGTCTTAAGGTTTAGGGTTTAGGGTCTTCGGGTCTAGGGGTTTAGGGTTGCCTCCAATCATAGGAGAGGTGGCACGCTTGAACTTACATCGGGGTTAACGGCTTAGAGGTTTTAGGGCTTAGGGTTTAATTCTACGTAGTGTTTGCGGGCCTGAATACTTAGAAGAGGGTATGGAGGGCACCTAAGCCTGCTTTCCACGAGCACACCTTCGGATGCAAACTCCACACCCCCTAAACCCTAGACCCTAAACCCTAAACCCTAAACCCCAACTAGACCCAATGACTACCCTCCGTCATGCCCTAACTGCCCACCGTTGCGGATCATACAGTGTCAAGAAGAGCAGTGTTTGAGACTCAAGAAACCTACACCCCTAATATCGGGGCCCTAGCAATTAGGTTGGAGTTTTTTTACAGTGGTTTTCGGTACAACTATATAGAGAAGTTTAGGAGATGGGGCCAAGGAAGACAATCCGCAAGGATCGCACGGCACGGCTAGTAATATCAACCGACCAATCAAAACTTCGGGACTCTCACTACATAAAGAGCTTTGTTCAAGTCACCATAGTAGGGACATCTTACTATTGCTATATCAAACTGATTTAGGAAGGACAATCCCCGAAACAAAAACTCCTTGAGAAACCCTGCCCCCCCCCCCCC